ATCGCGATCGCTGATTTGAAATTTCTCGAGAAAGAGGGAAACTTTCACGCTGGATAATAGGCAAGCATCGATGACCGATCGGGTAATTCTCAGTGCATATCGAGACGACGATTTTGCCACGGTGCGGCGGAAAATGTGGTCACAATGTCTGGCACGCCGGGACTCAAGCCATCCGTGATATTCCCCAACAGAAGCAACAACAACGGCGCCAAGCCGAAGAGCAGGATCTGCAAACTGACCTCGCCGAAATCGCTCTGCCCGTTGGCTGGGAATTCGTCTAAGAACAACAAGTCGCAAGAATCGTCCACGGACTCACCCTCGTCGAGTCCCGCCAAATCCTCCGTGTCGTCGTCACCCCGTCGAGCAGCTCAGCAGAGCATCGAGACCGGTAAAAAATCGCCGAGAAAATACTCTCAGCCGGACGAGCGGCAGCAAGCGCAAGCACAGCAAGTTTGTCCCAAGTCTTCTCCCAAACGTTCTCCCAGGAGGTACATATCGGTGTTCGAGGAGGATTTCCTGCAAGAGGAGATGGGTCTCGGCGTTCGTATCTCGTCGACGGCCGGTGGAAACGATGCGGGGATGTCGTTTCTGGAATTCGAGTCGCTCTACACGCTGGAGAAGGAGTTGATGCAATCGCGACAAGATGTAGGTCAGGCGGACGACAAGTGCGTGTTTGGAGGGTGGTTCGGTAGACGGGGTCTTTACACGGAGCTGCCTGACCCCATGTACCAACAAGCGATCGCCGCGGCCGCTGCGTCCTCCCAGATCCCGACAGAGGGATTCAGCTTCGCACCTGGATGGTCCCTGAACGTCGAGCATTTCTATCAGTGGCAGAATCGGGGGAAAACTACGCAGCAGGTATTATCGAGCTTCTCTCGAAATTATTTACGTGTACGTCGGCAGACGCAAGCAAAGTAAGTGACGCGAGTAAGAGGATAAACTCGAACTCTAAGCGGATCTCGTTTTATATATCTCGAATATATAAAGTAAAATACAAAGTATTGATTACACGAGAAATAAATCCACGCGATTTACCAATATCGCCCTATGTCGAAAAAGCTATGAAAACACTGGACTCGGAAAGTCGAAAGGTATAATTGATGCGGTTAGCCGGATTCTCGAATTGGAAATGAGCTGTCAAGAGCACACACGTCGTCGTTCTGTCTCTTTGCCAGGCAGCAGTGTATTCTACACGCGTATTCTACAGGCTGATACGCGCGAGATCGCGTTTGCCGTGGGTTCGCGTTACGAATTAATTGAAAAACGGAAGCAATTCCGACCGAAGCTTGCTCGTCAGTCGTGCGTTCGAAAATTGCGAACTCGAGTACACATTTAACGCGGATCGCCTCTTTCTCTTCCGTTATTATTCCGCTCGTTCCTTTCGCCTTCCGTTTTAGTTTCACCTGTATTTACGCGCGTCGTTCTCCGCCGTTTTTCCCCTCCTTTTTCTGCTTTCTGTTTTTTTCCCTCCGTCTTCCCGTTGGACGTTGCTCATTGGTTATTCGCACCCTTTCTTTCCCTTTCGTCCCTGTTCGTCGGCCAGTCGGCTCCCTTTTCGGCTTCACTTTTGCGTTTCGTGCCTGCAGGCAGATTTCGATCGTGCGAGAGCCGATTTTCACGTCCCTCATCGAGCTAATTTCGGAAACCGAGCTGCAAATTTGCGGCACGACGCTATCGAGTTTTACTTCATTTCACTTCAGTTGCCGCGGGCGGTTTGCACGACGTTGGCTACTTTTTATTCCTCGGTCATTTCCCGCCTGCAATTGATAAAAGCGATCTCGCCGCGATTTACGAGCCCCCGTTACTGCGCCCCGTGATTGCCGCTTTCGATTTTAAATATTTGGCCAGCAAACCGCCGATCGAAATTTACCCGAGCAATCTTCCTGCTTCGATTGTTTTAGTCAACGACTAGTTGTTCTCGTTGGCCCGTAATTCCCATAAATTCGTTTTATGAAACATTGAACGTCGACCAGTCGGTAAGCAATTAATTTTCTTCTGGCAAGTTTTCGATAAGCAATAGTTCGAAGTTTTCGAGGAGAAGCACGGAGGTTAGATTTACTCGCAATTTACGCAAATTCATACATTTTTGAAATACCGATCCCTTGTTTTGTAATATCGAATGTAAATCGACAAGTTGACAATTAATTTCCCTAATTTTTCGCAATTTTTCGATAAGGAGTAGTTCGAAATTTTCGAGGAGAAGAACGGAGGTTACATTTGCTCGCAATTTGCGCAAATTCATATTTTTTTTAAATACACGAATTCTTCGTTTTGTAATATCGAACGCGGGTCGACAAGTCGATAGTAAATTTATTTTCCTAATTTTTGGCAATTTTTCGATAAGGAATAGTTCGAAGTTTTCGAGAGGAGGAACAGTCAGTTTTTGAAATACCGATCCCTTGTTTTGTAATATCGAATGTAAATCGACAAGTTGACAATTAATTTCCCTAATTTTTCGCAATTTTTCGATAAGGAGTAGTTCGAAGTTTTCGAGGAGAAGAACGGAGGTTTAGGTTAGGTTTTCTCGGAATTGAATATACGAATCCATTTACTAATTTAAACAATTTTTTTACAATTACATATTTCTTTTTACTATATTTTCTCATTTGCGTTTAATAATTTGTTTGATTTGATAATAAGAAAATAAATTGTAAATTAACGAACTTGAATAAGTATACGTCTTGAACACATGATATAGAAATAAAATTTTCTATTAGCTTTTACAAATTTATTAATACAATCAATTCTTTAATTAAATGCAAATATATTAAATAACATAAAATTAAAACTAATAATCGAACAGTTTCCGAGAGGAGGAAACGGTCGGCGAGGTTATCAAATATGCTGCCCGGGGGTGTGAAGACGCTTTGATCATCCCCTCCGCTCCCCGAAGAAGCAGCAGAGTCTTTCGCGTCTCGGTTTGCTCTCTCGCGATGTTTACTTTAAGGGATGCCACCAGCTACCAGCATCTTTCGCTAGCTAGAAGGAAGAAGCACTGCACTTCTCCTCCTTATATATATATAT